GGTGATATAATCTCATACAGCATGACTCAATACAATTTCTTGTTATAAAGAACTTTTCTTGGATGTATAGAAGCTTGCTTAAATGATTGACTATCCCTGCTACTTGCAAACCAGCAGGCAGTCTGCTGGCCCATTTACCTGAGTATTTTCTCAAGTACGGTAGTTTTGCACAATTATTCTACCATGGTGGTTCTTGTGCTATGGTAAAGGTCATATAGCATGAAAAATTATAGAAGCTGATATATTTTTCTCATACTTAAGTGATATTTTTTCAAGTGGAACAAGGGGTGACTTAGTGAACTAATCGCTGCTCTTCGACATACACAATGGCAGTGAAATAATGCCAAAAAGGCATTGAAGGTCCCTTGCAGTGGAGCATAATTATTGCTTTTAGCTTGGGTTTTAGAGTGACTTTTAAAGAATGAGCTCGGAGATCACACCAGCTGGAACTTTGAAATTCTGTCTTAGTCCACTAGATGGTGATCCTTTTAAATTAGGATTCGGATAACTAAAAAAGACTGAGGCCACCAACCAAAAAAAGGCCCCACACTTGAGTACACAGAATAGAAAGACTTGGTTACAATATGACGTGATTTACATCATAACCTATACCAATGAATTCCAAACGATTGTTGAGCATATGACTGCACTGTGCCCTCAGCATTACATCAACAGAAGTAGTGACACCCAGTGAATAAGAAAACTAAACTTGATCTCAGTCTTTTCTTGCTGCAAAAGAGTTTGCAACTTCCAAGTGGCAAACACCTTTTGGAAACAAATAATGACAATTGCAGCAAGGCGCAGTGATTATTTGAGGCTGCCTTAATCACACAGACTATTTGGTTTTCTGCACAGCATGCACAGAATGCCATATCTAATATTAACGTAAGACAAAGGGTTAGGGTACAGTAATAGAAATGTTTTATTAAACAAATATATTTACATTTCTTCATCTTCTTTTTAAATGTGTGCCTGTTGTTTTCATTTAAACACAATGCAATCTTTACAATTGATATCACAAGAATACAGCTACATGCATGACTTAGTTGGTCCTTGGCAGTAAAAAAGATGAATTTTATGAAGTTTAACAAATGCAAGCATTTGTTTATCTTTCTAATTACAGTGTTATTAGTATTTTTATTACAACACAGGACCCCTTCAACATACTCTACATCTATAGAGTGGATTTATGTAATTTTTCAGACTAGCTTGATGATGTTAAAAATCTAGAGAAAAAAAATAAATTCATGCAATCCCAGAATATTTTGTTTTCTGGAATCCTATATACAGTAAGGACTTGGATGGAACAGAATAGTGTTTTAATTGTAATTTCTAAAAAAATCATAGCAACTGATGACTCTCAAAAGCAATGAGGACTTACTTTTAGACATTCACCTATTTATTTGTTTGAAATAACATCATTTTTTCAGCTATAAGACAGCATCACATAATGCAATGGCACCATACAAAAATAAATATTAATTTAAAGGAGAGATGATGTTACCCAAAGAAAAAGATATACACATCACTGCTTGTAAGTTTCTAGTATGTAATATGCTGAAATTATTACATTATTCACCACTCAATTTTCTTTCATGGGAAGAAAATAAAATTGTATTAAAAACTATCATATTTAGGGGCTATAACTGCAGGTTTATAAAGGACCTAAAGTATTTCTGAAAGGCATAACTCTATGAATGTATAAAATTTAATTCCACACTGAAAAAAAAATCAGAACTAGGCACAATTTTTAAATATGACTTCCAACATGTTCAGAGTTGGATGAAAAAAAAAATCCCAAAACCAAAAGCTTGGGTTTTTTAGCAGACTACAAAACAGAGATGCCAAGTGCTTCAGAAATTCTGAAATGGCAGGCACATAATCACTACATTTAAAGATAATTGTACTACACTTACTGCTTCAGTTTACTGTGTGCAAACACATACTGTATGCATGATAGATCTAAATGTACATTTGTTCCATCAGTACATGAACTGAAACTCACTCAGCATTTGGGAAGTTCAGGCAGGAACTGGATTCCCTTTAGTCCAAACCTGGGATGCATTAGTTTCTTCATGTTAGTTTTACATTTGCTATATTGTAACAGAATGCCAAACATTGTATTCAAGATAAACCCACTATGAAATCGTGGGGTTTCACTGTATTGCTTTTATATGCTGCCAAATCTGTTGTGAAAATGCCATGTATAAAATAATACAATAACTGAAATTGTGCTTAGGCACATGGCACAACATAGTGATTTACACAAGAAAGAATTATTTGGAAGAAAAAAATAAGTTCTGCAGACATACTACTCTAGTGCATTTTTAAAAACAAATCCAGTAAAATCTTGAAATAATTGATCTTTACTTCACACTCATTCAGGAGAGTATTTAGACACATGTTTAAATAAAAAACATACAAGTAAGCCTATCTGTAGTCAGCAGGGAACTTGCAATATCTGTAAGCACATACTTACATACTATTTGCACTGCAGGATTTAACTACAAATCCCTTTCTGCACGAGGTGGATTGCTCTGCACTGCCACTAACCACTTCCTTGAATACAAGGGCACAGTTAGGTGATGCAACAGCACAAGTCACTGATCTAACATAGCTGCTTCTCAGAGCATGACATTTTCTTTCTTACTCTATTTATTAATTCCTGCTCTCTTTTTATCTCTTTAAACTATTTGCTTGCAGAAATGATCTACAGCTACTGTTCAAATGTTAACTAAAAGTTGGTACCCCACCAGAATGTGTACTTTAGATTAAGTCACTTAAATAAGGGAAGATGTGAACTACAAGGCATGAGGGTCTGAAAGGTTTAGGATCCGATTTTGGTTTCTTCTGTTTCATTAGCCTTGCTAGGAACAAAACAGTGTTCAGATAGACACCTTTAAGTTACAAATCTTCCTACCCAGCTTCCCATGCTTCTTTGAACCTACAACAAACAAACAAACAAATACATTTATATAGTAGCTAAGAGTCTCACATAGTTTTGAGGATAAAATCAGGCAAGTGATGACAGAATCGCTTGCGCCCCATATCTCTGCACTGAGAAACAGAGCTGGAAACTCACAGAAATGAAGCTTCTTTATGAGATAAGTTGGTACTCTCTAGAACAATGATAAAAAAAATCTTTTTTTCCCCCCACAATTTTTTTTAAATTTTTCATAGCCAAACACAAATACTTCCAAAGTAATTCCCTGCAAAGCTTTGCAAACTCCAGATTCTGCAGTGTAGTTTTTGTAATATAATAAATGAACCTCACGCAGTAAGGATGTCTTAGCTTTTAAACTCCTTCTAAATGCATTTGAATTTTACTGCAGGCTCTTTTTCTGCTTGATCTCTCTGCAGAATTCATAAATGGCCTGAATCTGGTATTAAATTTGAAGCTGATTCTGTCTAGCCCTTTACAGAACTGGATACTTAATTCTCTACATATTTAAAATCATCCCCATAAATGTGTTTAAAATACTTATTATAATCAACTGAGCCCTTATGAGCCAGTCAGCACTTCAGTTTTGGTGCAAAACTGAATTATTCTGTTTTAATCCCCATAATCTCCACAATTTTATTTTGCAGTTTTACCTTATGATATAGCATGACCTCAGAACTGTTTAGGTTTTGCTTCTTGGTGATGGTGGTTTTTTTTTTATTTAATTTTATTTTTTCTCTTTTTTTTTTTTTTATCGTTGAGACTATATAATCTAGAGAATAAGAAATGGTAGGCCTTATCCTACCAACATGTCTAATAATCTACAGCTCTAGCATTGAGACAATCAATACATAAACAAACTGCTCACTGCTGGTCTCTAGAAGTGAAAAACATACTTTCATTAGACAAAATCATGAAATCTGAAATACGTCATGGATAAAAGCACAAATAAAAGTAGATCAAATCAATGTAATGACATCTGAGCTTTTTACATTGATGTTGGGAATATTTTGGCTTTCTTTCATTCACTGTACCAGGCAAATTTCCATTAAGTGAATTCTATGAAGCCTCCAAGAAATTTACATAGTATCTGAGTTCAGATTTACCTTTTGTTTTGAAACTCAGCCCAGCTATATTTGAAGCTTCATCTAATACAGGAGCATTTCCAATTTGATCCAAACCAACAGAATAAAAATATCAGTGGACTACAGCTTGGATTTCTGATCAGATTTCCTAGAAATCAGGATGACATTAAATCCATCACCCAAACAAAAAATGTCTTCTTGGTGTTTTGCTCCTCGTAATATGATTTACATGTAGACTTGAATCTTAAATGTTTAAAATACTTTCTATCACCTCTTTGTCTTTGATAGCAATTAGACTGAATTTGAAAGCTCTATTAGTTTAACATAGTTTTCCTACTTGTTTCTTTATATAATGTGTATTTGCAGATATACAACATTCCTTGTTTTTCTTCTTTTTTTTCCTTTTCTTGTCTTTTTATTTCCCCCCAGAATATCTATGCCAATGCCAATGCAAACTACTTGCATGAAAAAGTGCACAGAGTGTGAGGCATGAGATATGGAAATGAAATGCCCTTTGGTCTGAGGCGGCTGACACTGACCCAGGTATAGCTCTTGATCACTTCCCATCCCACACAGCAATTTCTATTACAACCATGTCAAGATCAACTTAGCCCAGCCCAGCCAAATGTACAGATTATATCTGGGTCCTTTGAGTCATGCTACAAAAAAAGGTGCAACAATAAACAAGTCCATGTGCATTCTCGGTCATAACTATGAGCAGAGTAACCCTTGAGATTCCTCACTTTGGCATTAAATAACAATTATAAAGGCTTTTAGAATTAAAGCAATACATGGAGGGACTTGAAATGTTAACAGCCCCAAGTAACTTGTCAATTGAAATAAGACTCATCCCTAGTCATAAATAAATAATCTCTTTCCTGGTCTCACTTCCATGCCAGGATCAATATCTCTTAACATCTTACTTATTTTATTACTGCTTTTGGTTTTCTGGGACTGATTGAAAGTTGCTCAGAGGAAATCTTTGGTTTTGCTTAAGTGTCCGTGACATTTAATCATGACTTTCCTTGCAGTTTAATTCCAACCAGTCAATCAGTTAATCCACTTCAATTGATTCTGTGCTCTCTGTTATTGGCTTGCACTCATTGGGCATCCTCTGGTGTCGACTCAGCTGGGTAGCTTGTGTGAAGCTCCTCTCACACCTCTCGCACCTGGTGAAGGCAAGAGAGAAAATTGAGACCAGGGAACTGCTCTGGGAGGTGGGTGATGGGCTTTGTCACATCCTGCCTAATCAGAACAGACACTCAAAAGTGGCTTCAGATTTTACTGGCTCAAGAGGTTTAATTGGTGGCTACTTCCAAGGCCTTGATGCCTATGATGGGACAAGGCCTGTCTGATTCAGAACAGAGGAATCTGTCAATAGACAGGGGGAAGGTGATTTCTCCAGAGAGGCCTGTCCTGCTGTAGCTCTGATCACTGTCAGTTCAAATAGATAAAGAACAAAAAGAGATTTTTAGGAGTGAGCCATCAAAGAAGCAGTTTTCTGCTCTGTAACCCCTAAGAGAAATTGATGACAAATAGAATTTCACCTTCTGCTAATTTAAAAACCACAATTGCCTATTGGAGGATGAGAAATCACAAAGCAATAATCATTCAGTTCTAGAACAAGAGAAAACTCTTTGTTTGTCTGATCCGACTATGTTAGTGGGGTTCATTTTAAAGAGGCACACAGAGTTAGTGGTTATTTAATTACCCGACAACATCCGCACTATTTCAGAAATCTGTGGATTGAGCAAGAACTCATAACAGTCACCAGTGTCTGCTTCACTGTCTTTTATGTTCACTTATCTTTCTACCCTGTCCTTTCTTAGAGAACCAAAATCTGCAAAAAAAATTAATGTGTGAATAAATTAACAAAGTAATTGAATTTTGGAAGGGATAGGAGAGGGGTTATTGTTGAGTCACAAATATGGATGCAGCATATTCTTCTTGTATTGTGTTTTCTCCAAAAGTCATCTTTGATTTAATAGTATTGTGTGATGCTTTATCTTCAAAGAAGATTATCATAAAAGTATCACAAAAATTACTTCTTCACCTTCAAAGGACAAATGAAGAAAAAAAAGGATTCTAATTCATATTAATCTTTCTCTCTCCCCTGATGTGAATGATAGAAAGTGAACTGTGAAGTGTAACTGATCTAGCTGCTTATAATAAAAAGAAAGATATTTACACATATGCATGATTGTAGGTGTTCTTCACATTACTAATTTTTAGTAATAAAGTTCTGCTTCAGGAATATTTAGCACAGACATTACAGAGTCATTCATCCAGGTTACTGTCCCAATCTAAAACGTCAACACTTTTAAGTTGTGTTTCTTTGATTGTCTTTCATGGAATATTTTTAGCATCCTGTTCCACTGTTAAAAACTGCACTGTGATCTTGACAAATGTAAAATGTCAGCTTTAATGTATCAGACCTATCAGCTCAATGAAAATAACTCAGAAGTATTGATTACTTAATGATTTTTTGGGTATTCATTAACGTCTATGTGCAGATCATCCACTCTCCAGAGCTCCTGAAGTGCTGATGACACATTAGTGTACTGCTGATTGTTTATTAGAAAACTGATTAGTTACTGGATGAGTGTGTCAAAATATACTAAATTTCATTGCCTGACAAACTTGCAAATTATTGTATTATTTTTAGATACATATATATATATATCTATCACAGAAGCATTAGAATCAATTTTAAGACTGGGGGTTAACTTAGTCTGTATGAGATATTACCGTCTACTCAAACTTGATAGTTTTGTTATTTTGATGTCTACAAAGACAAGTACTTTGCTTCCTGACTAATAGGAGGCTTGAATCCTCACCTAACCAAGCTGTAAATGATACAGTTCCAAAATAACCTGCAAAATCATGTGTGGCAACACCTCACTATAAGAGCCTGGCCAAATAAATGAAATACAAGGCATCAGGTTGCCCAGGCACCATCAGTCATTGAGGTAAAGACTAAAGGTTAATCAAAAGACAAAATTACTCACTAAAACCATTGGGCATGAAGCTGTGACAGGCCTCCTTATCCTTTCTGGAGCTTGCCTGGCAGGCTAGAGCTGGGCACTGCATTCACTCACCACCTTGCAATGCTCTTGAAAGCTCAGAGCAAGGATTACAGTATTTCTTTAAAATGCAAGTTCCCATCCTTTACCCACAAGATTCTTCTGCCATATGAGTGCTCTAACCTCCCAGGTACGGGCTGTTCGGATATACTACCATAAAGGCACAGGGAAGAAGGATGCTAAAGAGAGAACAGAAAAAGAATAAATCTCTTGCTACAAGCATCTACCCTTTGAATAGGAGAGATGTGGGTGCCAAATGTTGATGAGGGTCAGACTTTGCTGTCTGTGCTTACACAGCCCTTGGACACCAGTCAGGATAAAGCCTTTGGAAAGGTGCCTAATTTCCCTGTCTTTTTCTTGTACCTGGGTAACCTTCAGATGTTCCTTCAGTACCCAAGGTGCCCAGGATTGTCTAGGCGCTTCCAAATGATGTGGATGGTGTTTCCAGGACAATAGTTTTGGATATATAGATACCTGGCTTATTGACAGAGATCTGTATTAGGCTCCTGACTCCTCTTTTCAACGTAGTCCACAGAAGTTGTTGCTGGATACAAACTGACAGAAAAGGTGAAGATAATAGTGTCATAGCAGTCAGCATTACTGTCTCACAGGAGGTAGGAATAGGAGGAAGAGCAGGAATATTTTTCTCTTGAATTATTGTGTACTCTCTCCCTCTATCAACAATTCTTTCCCAGACAATCATAGCAGAATAACAACTGCCATAAGCCTATGAGATCAATAAGCATGTGTGTATGTAGGTTTGTGTGTGCATATTTCCGTACTATAAGCCATACACATGTTGTTGGAAATTTTAATAGTAGTCAAAAATGTCAGAAATGAAAAAGAGTCCATTTCTCATGTGACCATCCACAAAGTAATCATGAGGCTGAGCCCAAGCCTGACTACTAGACATATCAAATTTTGGTTAAGCCTCAAGTGCAGATACATGTATTGCCAGTAATTATACCTATTAACTGAGATACAACTTAATTTCCACTTAGGGCCATTCGACGGCATGTGAGAGTAATTTAAACAGTCTCAGACACAATGTAGATCCAAAGAAGCAATTCCAAAGTCCTCAAACAATTAGATACCATCAGTGAAAACTAGATTCCTGTTATCTTCTTTTACAATGTGTGTGTGCCTTCATTGTAATTGTACAGACCAATGTATTACAGCATTAGACCTCCTTAAACTCAGGACTTCAATCCACCACAAAGTTTCCCTATATGATTTGCTTGGGTGGAGGTGGTAAGCAGAACTGTTCTTAAATTCACAAAGAACATTGACAGGTTTTAAATATTTCTACAGTACTGTGTTTTTTGATTTTGTTTAGATAGCCCTCATTATCACTGGTCTGCTTGTTTACTTCACAGTACTTTGATGATTATAGACAGGATTGGTTTAATTTGCACATTTATATTAACCTCTGTGAAAGACTTTGGAGGAGGAAAATGCTGAGGGTCTATTTTAGGGGGAAAAATCTGCATTCAATACTGTCAAAATAAACACTTTAGGATTTCGTTCAAGAAAAACATTTAACACTACATTTTAAATTCATTTGAAGGGGTTAAAAAAAAACCAAAACCAGAAAAAAATATTGCAAAGTTGAGATGTCACTGCAGGTACAATGTTCCACCTGAAATGAATGCTCCCCAGTTTTATATGTCAGTAAGAATAAATGAAAAACACCTGAGTTATCACAACCAGAAAGAATCTTTCCTGTAATTATTTTGGTTTGAATCTGGCATATTAGATCTTTGCATAACCCTGATTCTGCAGGCAAGTCCCTTAACTATTTTTCAGTTTTACTAAAATGGAAGTGGGAAGCGTTGAGACGAACTTAAGAAAAGGGAGGTGACAAATAATTTTCCTTTTTCTCCTACCTTTTAATTTACTTAAGAGCTTTGTTCCCAGACTAGCAGCCATAGTGGAGACTTCAGTAAGATAAGAATACACAAAAACTTTACAGTGCTGACGCTGGCTTAATAGCTTGTGATGACATGAAAAGAAATCCCTTCTAACTGGACCTGCAGTCCAGGCAATGCAGCTAAAGCTTTGACTACAGATAACCTCACTTAGCATTGTTATCTTAATGAAAAGTAAATAGAAAAGTCTTCCACTATACATCCAAATTTACCTAGGACCTACAAAGAAAAAGCCTTCTCAGAGAAAAAGCTTTTTAACCAATCACAAACTTCCTCTTACATCACAATTTCTTTGAAATATTTTTAAATGCTGTTACCCTATGTTCACAATTTTTTAAACCAAATTCTGAAAATAATATACATACAAACATACTCAGTGTTTAAGACTGTCAGCTTAATCCACACTCACTGTAATTCGTCTTACAAAATAACTGCCATACTTACTTAGAAATCATGAGATTGCATTCATGGCAACAGCAAATTTAAAACTGAATTTAGTAACAACTTCAAAATTATGCCTATTATTTTTAAAATAACAGCTAGAATTTAAGTAATTTATCACTATCCATGCATGATCATTCTTTCTAGTAGTAAAATTATTAGTCAAGAGAATTGTGTGCATCATCACAAATACAGACTTTTTTGAGGTACAGAAACCATATCTCAATGAATTTTTCCATCTTGCACTTTTTTTGGTAAGTGTACACTCTAAATTCCATTGTAAATAAAGACTTAAAAACCAAATTGCATGATCAAGTGACGAAAGTCTTGTTTGTCCCATTTACGGTTGTTGTTTACTAGAATTTGTTGAGGACTTTTTTTCTAGGCTTTCTTACTACCTGGTCTCATGACCCCCTTATTCAAAAGAGAATCTGAATGGTGATAAGACATCAAGATGAGCTGCAGCTCTCTCTTTTTCTCCAGCAGAGAGTGTAGATCAGTTTCTGGATAAGTTTTGTGCCCCTCCTCTCTCAAATGCAAGCAGTCCTGTGTGGGAGGCAAATCTGCCCTTTTGAACAGCTTGCGGTATCAAGGCACATGTGCCCTCTTATCTGACTAGCAGTGATGGGAAGATCTGCAGCTCCAGTTTTAGCTTCATGTGAAATTACTAGTCAGCTTACTGTGAATACTTCAACAAGTCTTAGAGAGAAATTGGTACTACTGTTTGTTGAGCTTAAGGAAGAAATTAAATAAACATCTTGCAAGATTGAAATTATGCCATATATCATAAAGAAGCAGTACAGAGCATACACATTTTTTGTCCCTCTGCTCTGTAACTTTAAGAATAGGTAGACCCATCCTGGAATACTTAAATACTTCCACATAAGCAGGGTAAAACAAACAAAAAAAAAAAACAAATTCCAGATAACTGGTTAATTGTAGTACACATATTAGGCCCTTTCGCAGATGAAATTGTGCTGTAATCAAGACCATTTTGGAAAAGGGGGAAAAAATTGCTAAACCAAAGGGGAAAAATAATGACTCTAAATGGGGCAAAATAACAGGTCTATTGGAAACATGACAAAAACAGGATGTTAAGGAAAAAAATTAAGTGGAGTCAACAAGGTTACACATAAGTAACACATTAACATTAAATGAAATCTATTTTCCATTTTGACCTGGAAACCTCTTCCATTAATTACTAAAATCTATTTACACAGCAACTAGATAAAATCAATCTGATTGCTCACACCATTTTTGGTTCACTTTCTATGGGCTCTGAGCATTCAACATACTGGCTCAAGAGAAGTCAATATTTAGATGTTCTGAGTTTCCATGTTTTGCCTCCTACAACACTATCCTGGCCATGATTTCTGCTATGCAACTTCTTCTGTACTGGATATGCAGCATTTTGTTCCAGCTCTGTCCCCTTGCTCCCAGCAAAGACATGGATGGAGGCCATGCTTTCTTACAACCATATATAGAGGCAAAGCCGGTCCACCAGTATCTCTGCCGGGATTGTTATGAGGGGTTCTGACAGGCCCAATAACTGAGCTCTCTTACGTTAACCAGACAGAAAGCACAGTATGGCAAAAGTAGAAAAGACAAAAGGAGAAAAGTAAACAGAGAACAGACAGCACTTGGAGAACTGGGAAAGATGCACACCTTCTTCTACACTTATTCCCATTCTTCCTAGGAACATTCAGGCAGGTTCTAAAAGAAGTGATATCAATACAATATATGATGATATCAATATATTACTTTTGTTCCCAAGTGGAATTGTTCCAGGTACAACCTGGGTCTGTCAGTTCAGCAAAGAAAAAGACACAAATATGGGAACTATTTCTTCTGTCTTGGAGAACACTTCCTGTTAGGTAGTCAGAGTCTTGCACAACAAGGTAAAATAAGCCTGGATCAACTGTGCTGTAGATGGAGGTGAGCATAGAGGGAAAATTTCTGAGACTCAGGTGTGTGCTTAGCTTAAATTTCATTAAGCATAAACTGCAGAAATAGGCAAAGTCTGTTTAATTAAAAACTCTCTTGACAAGTCTGTTTAATTAAAAACTGTCTTGACCAGGTGACTTTTTTTTTAATATCTTGGAAAGCTGAGCACTATCAATTTATTATCATGATCTTACAAAACTTATGTCTCAAGTCAGAGTTGCATTTTGTATGCAGTGATTCTGAGACTAAAAGAAGATGCATATTTCTCTCCCATATTTAACCAGAGTCAAATTAGCTTTCACTTGAAGTTCCATCCAACTCAGCCTATAGACATCTAAGAAACATATTAATGTTCTTATAGCATGACTTGTCCCAGTCTTGATTGTATTTTCAGCTGTGGTTCTCTGGCAGCAGCTTGCCACTTAATTAAAACAATCAAGATCTCATCAGAGAAGGAAAAATTGTTCAGGGTTGTCAAGGAACCCAAAACCAAATCTGTTTTACTTCTGATTTTAACTTCACCACTAACTGTTTTATCTGGTAGTCTTGGCTTTCAAGGAAAACTCTGCCGAGTGCTGGGGATGCTACTGAACAGCAGCAATGCATTTTCCTCTCTAATCTCAGCTGACAAAGGCTGCTGGCTTCAAGTACTTACTTGAAGGGCTTTTCCCCAGTGTGTGTCCGGATGTGATTGTTGAGTGTTGTGGCACCAGCAAAGGCACGACCGCAGTAGCCACACTTGAAAGGCCTGTCACTGGAGTGCGTAACTACGTGGTTCCTCAGCTCTGAAGGTTGGGAGAAAGACTGGGAGCAGTGACCACACTGGTAGGGCCTGCAGTGGGAAAAAGAAACAGCACGTCATCAGTGCCTTTTGTTGACATGAGCAGGAAACCATATGGAAGGGAGCACCTGATCTTCCCATAACTTTCGAAGAGAACTGCAGGTGCACTTCTCTGAGTCTTTCTTGGGAGAAACATACCCAAAACTTCATAAGCTCTCCAACAAATGTAAAATTCTTTTACAGGAATTAACTGAGAGTCTATGGGCATGATGCCCCACAAAACATAATTCAGCAAGCTACTGACCCAGCAGTGCACATCAATATGCCTGCCTTAATTCTCTCAAACTCAGCATGGTACTCCTCAGCCACAAAAAAAATCCTCACACTTTGGAACTGAGGGTCTCATGAAACCCTGTCTGTTGGTGCCAGCTATAGTCTTACCTACAAATATCTAATTGTTATGCCTGTATTCTACCTGTATTCTGTAGCTGTTTGCAATTAAATTCTTTGTATTGCTTTGGAGAAATCTAGGTCTTTTGAGATCATGTATTTCAGTAAGAAACACTGGAAAAAGTAACCACCATGTTACAATTATCTGTCTATTTTCCTACATCTATTAAATATATTTGCATTTTATTAACATGTTTCTCCCACCCAGACTAAAAATGCCTTTTTTTAGGATCTTGGAAGGAAACATAGAACTTAGGTTTTCAATGCCACAGTTTGTTAAAAGCAAACATAACAAATAAACAAACAAAACTAAGTGATATGTTACAAACTGAGGATCATAACAAGCAGACTGCAGACACGGAAAGAAAAGGATACAAGACAGTAATGTGAGACAGGTCTGCTGAAATGCTAACTAAAATAAAATGTGAAGAAACAATGTTTATATATTTCTACTTGGTAATAGTGATTTAATATCAACATCCCAGAGGGGCTTTTTCCATTTCACATTTGTTTTGAGTTAGTGGCAGAATCCTAAATGCTTATCCAATTTTTTCTCTTAAAAAATTAAGATTTTTTTTTTTCTAGAGGGATAATAATAATTTTTACCCTACACAACATTTTAACTCTTGATGTCTGCATTTCCAGAGCCAATGGCCAACTTAGCTCAATTACTCTCTCTTTAAAAAATGCGTATGTTTAAATGGCTAGAAACCAAAACTAAAGGGAAGAAGACAATGGTGACCAAGCATGTACAATTCAATTAAGTGCAAAATAAAGTGAACTATCTCATTTGTCAAGTGAACTGCTTAATTGTGGCTACTTGCATCACTGAACACAAATACTATTATTTTACAGTGCTTCAGAGCACTGAATCCTGATTGTAGAATTTTTTAGCTTGATTAATAGCTCAGTATTCATCAATAACTCAATAGCTTACTACTTTAATTACTTGCATTTGAAAATCTACTCTCCAACAAGTTTAAAAGTAATATATAATAGCTGTGGAAAGGTAACTTATATAATGTGGCCCTTAAAAATACACAAATACGTGTAAAACAATATTTTAAGAAAATAATAAAAACTCATTATCTGTTTCTCTTATTGGAAGGCAAGTAGTAACATGCCTAGTTTTCTCCTTTCTTGAAGTGCAAAGTTATTTTGCACAGAAAATATTTTTCAAATTTAGCATGAAATGTTTAAAGCTGGTAAAACAAAGATGATTTGTGAATGCAGAGTTACTTGTTAGGATATTTTCATATCAAACACTTATAAGCAAAATAATGCAATAATGTTTTCTGTATCCAAGAAACATTGATTTTTTTTTTAATAGTGAAGCGGACCATTAACATCTATTAGCCTCTGGTTATCTATTTTTAATAGCTATTGTAAGAAATTATACAACACTACGTACAACCAATTAATCTTTTATTTTTTTAACAGTCAATATGATTAATTTCACACAGTGTAAATTCACACTGTAACTTCTCTGTAAACAGTCAAAATTCCAAACCAGTTGTAACTGAATGTTGTGATGTCAGGCAACATGGGTTCACCCCCTACATTGGCTCAAAATAAATGAATTCTTTACGAAGTACTCAATACATTTCACTGGCTGATGCTCAAGAAAACAAGCCTTGTAAGAAATCACCTATTGTTAGATCACTCTGACTATATTTTTTCCATTCATCTACATCTTGGGAGAAAAAATATTAAAGAAGTCACCCTTCTCTTTGTAGGGGATGCATTTCTCCAGTTTATACACAGGCAATGCTGATTAACACTAAAATGTGTAATTTTTTTAAAGCTTAGATACAAGACACAACTTTTGGATACTACTATTTTTCCAAGAGCAAAAAAAGTCATTCAGCAAGTATAAGACTTATCATTTTGTTCTCTGGTAACCATTTTACTGTGCTCAGAAATTTTTCTTGGAAGAAAATAAAATCAATATGTTGTTTTCAAAAAAAATGAAAGTGGTGCAGAAGGACTGAACATGAGCAGTGCTCGGTTCAGTGAGTACATTGACATGGGCAGATCACGCCTGCCTTTGATGTAGCAGTTATGTCTTCTGCCATCACTTTGGTCTGCACCAGGACAATGAATTGGGATGGTGACCTCTTTATAACAGAGGTTTGCAGACAGAAGGAACAGGGACACAGTGACAGAAATATTGGCCTTCATAGGCTGTACTTTCAAAGATCCGCTGCTAGACTGAATGCACTCCCAACTCAGAAAAACTAATTTCCACTGAAATAACCAAGAACTTATCATACCTTCTGAGCTTCAAGGTATCCTGTGAATCAAAATCTTCTCAGATAGTAATTTTAAGTTACATTTAAGAACAACTAAACTGATGTATAGCAATGTGCAGTTGAGAATGATGTTCTGACAGCCACCAAAAGCAGTTCTAATGTTTTTTATTAATCACCTAGCTACATATTTTTTTAGCTCTACATCTTTCTTTTGAGCTTGCAGATAGGAAATCTACTTACCTAGAAGCAAATTCTGCTGTTGAAGGAATTACACTGTTATTATTAATCCCCTGCATCATTGATCAGCTCTCTAGTTTTACTGAAAGGTATGATCCACCATCTTTTTCTAGAGACTCTAATCCTACAGTCTCTGACTATATGGTGGCCCACTATAGCAACATATACCATTTAAAGCAAAATTCAGAGAGCAACTCTAATGTAATAGTTTTCAGGTTTTGTAGTTATTTTATTTTGAGGTTTTCCAAGTTTTGCGAGTCACATTTACAAAATGAAAACACTAAGGAATAAATTTTGCTCTCTACCCTAGAAAATATACTGAATGATTTTGCTCCTTGGTAATGCGTTTTCCGGTCTTACAGTTTTATTACAATTGTAGTTGATTTTTTTTCTGGGTGAAACTATATCATGTATGGGACCAGTACAAAACACATATTCCCATATGGGGCTTACTGAGCCTCACCAAAGCTCATGCTTTGTGCAGGATATGTAGAACCCTCAACATGCACAAAGCATATGAATAGAGAAGAATAGAAAAATCCATATCTATGCAGCTGGAACAGCTACTGACAGATAACTGTACATTTAGATTGATACTTTTTAGATTTTTGTTAAGCAAAAGTAGCATAGCTTTTTTTATCTTGTACTATTCCTCTGCTAAAACAATATACTTTCCACCTTCTGACTCCCAAATATATCTACCCATTATAGATTTATTTTATATATCTTAAATTATTAATTCTCTGAATTATCTTGAAAAATCTTACCATTATTTTCCACTGAATTTTCAAATTACTTCTTCTTTTAAGAAGTGAATTTGGTCTTTTCATGGGACATATGGAATCCTAGTGCAATTCTTAGAAGAGAAATTGCTTTAATAGTGAGTTCCTGAATACTTGTAACTCTATCATTGAAACACTCACAGACCAGGCAGTTAATTAAAGTTCTGTAATTCTTTTCCTTTACAAACAGCTGGAAAAGCACCAGCAGAAAGAAGAGAGACTGGCATGTGGTTGAAAGGGCTTTTCTCCTTGTTGAGGACTAAGAACTAAAAACCCAACTTGATCATAGAATGATTTTTGTTGGAAGAGACCTTAAAGATCACCTAGTTCCAACCCCTTGTGCCACGGGCAGGAACACCTTTCACTGAAAGCGCCATCCAACCTGGCCTTGACAACTTCTCAAGATGGGGCATCCACAGCTTCCCTGGGCAAACGGTTTCAGTGTCTCACCACCCGCAAAGTAAAGAATTTCTTTCTTACATCCAATCCAAATTTACCCTCTTTCAGCTTAAAGCCATTATCCCTTCTTCCATCATTACATGCCCTCATAAAAGGTCTCTTTCCAGTTTTCTTTCAGGCCCCTATAGGTATTGGAAGGCTGCTATATGATGTCCCTGAACCCTTCTCTTCTCCAGGCTGAAAAACCTGAACTCTGTCAGCCTGTCTTCCTCCCTCTGATCACTTTTAGGATTCTCCTCATAACTTTCTCCAGCAGATCCACATTCTTCCTATATTGGGAGTCCTAGAGTTGGATTATTACTGAAGCCCTACCTGTTGGTTGTCATCAGCCACCTCCTTATTTTCCATGTCCCTTAACATAGTTGCCTGAAGGATCTACTCCATGTTCTTGCCAGGTACCAAGGTGAGACTGGCTGGGCTATAGTTCTCCAGGTCTTCCTTTTTCACAGTGGAGCTTATGTTTCCCCTTTTACAGTCAGTGAGAACTTCACCAGACTGCCACAACCTCTCAAATATGATAGATACTGACTTAGCCATAGACAGTGACTTAGCCACTTCGTCTGCCAGTTCCCTCAGGACCCATACATGTATCTCATCAGGTCCCATGGAGTTGTGCACCTTCGAGTTCCTTAGATGGTCTCCAATCTGATCTCCTTCTACAGCTGGGAATTCTTAATTTTCCCAGTCACTTCCTTTGCCTTCTGCGACATGGGTGGTGTGACTAGAACAATTCCCGGTGAAGACTGAGGCAGAAAAAAATTATTGACTACCTCAACCTTATTCATGTCTCGGGTCATGAGGCCTCCTGCTTCTCCCAGAGAGGGCCCACATTTTTCCTTATTTCCTTTTATCACAAACATAACTACAGAAGCTTTCGTTGTTCTTCATTTCCCTGCCCACATTGAATCCTATCATGGCTTCAGCTTTCTTAAACTGATTGCTGACTGCTTGGACAATCTAACTGTATATCTCACAGACTACCTGTCTTTGGTTCCATCCTCTGTAGGCTTCCTTTTTGTCTTTGAATTAATCCAGTAGTTCCCTGTTCATCCATTCAGGACTTCTGGTGGTTTTGCCTGACTTCCTCTCTGATGGGAAGCATTGCTCCTGAGCTTAGAAGTGGTGATTGATCTCAGGGTCTCAAGGCGTGGGACAGAGGACTCCATTGAACTGAGGACAGGATTTCACATTGTTATAGGGGGAAGGCTGCCACACCACAGCCTCTGCAAAAAAACAAAAGCAGGCCATGTTGAAGCAGTGCCAACACTGGCTTTCAGGACCAGGCCTTGGTACAGCACACAGCATTAAGAGCACACCTGCACTCAGAGGAGTTATTCTCACATAAAGCTATTTTTGAGGAATACCTTCTTCTAGCAAGTTGAACTAAGGCTAGAGAACCAAGTGACACCTCGGGATACTGCTAACTTGCACACAGAAACATCCCTAGCATCAGCGGGGCCATGGGTGGGCTACCTTCCCTGACTCTGGACTCCACATTCCCTGCTGCCTTGGTGTTCCCCTTAGTCAGCACAGCTGCTGTCCTGAGCACCTCAGGCACCAAACAGCAGCAGGGATGGCAGAGCTGGACCCACTGGGAGCTCTGGATCCTCTGTTACAAATTTTTGTGAAGAAACTAGCGAAAGCAGAAAGCTGGTGCACTTGAAGCATTTGCAAATGTGAAGCTGTCAGAGAGAGTTGCTGCTCTGTACACCCATTACTCTTATTAGCTTTGAGTGCTGGGAGTTTGCAAACCTTTATGAAAAGATTATGCAAGAACAAGCATTAAATTCAGCACAAAGTTTACTTTAATTGAGCAATACTCAATAAACAGAAAGAGACAATGCTTGCTCACAGCATTTATTTTTCCTAAGTCTGTTTTGGAGATGTTCAAATTAATTAATGGACTTAGGGAGAACCTCAAGGTCAAAGACACAGAACCTATAAAGAAAAATATTAACACAAAATGGACTGAGCCACAATCTTAGAGAAAAAGACCTATTAAATTGGTAACGTCAAGTTCTTGTTTAAAAAAAAAAAACACAAAACCAACCACAACAACAAAACAAAAACAAAAAAAAAAGAAGAACCTTAAAAAACCCTTACAATTTAACATTGAGTTGCTACAGCAAAACGTAAGTGTAATAATACCTTTTTAGTAAACAAGAATTGTGAGTGCCAGATCACACCCATAATCTATCAGCCATAGACACACTAAGAGAGTGGACTTTCCCTCAAATTATCAGCTTGAATACATGACAATCAATGAGAATATATATCACACAGATGTACATGTTGCATATAAAAATGTGCCACAGAGAGGTCTTAGGAATTGCAGCCAACTCCCTATTCTAAATCTGGTGATCATAGTGAGATGGAAGAGCTGTGTCATTTAAAAAGATTGCATCATTAACAGAAAAGTGGTTGCTGTTAAAAAAAAAAAAAAAAAAAAAGGGAAGAAAAAAAAAAACACAGCTGCTCTAAATATTATTCAGTATGATAAAGAGTTTTGGTTACCCCTTTTTTGAGCCTCCCAAATAGAAGTCTCCTGCTGCAGCAGAAGGGAGGAAATTAAAAAAAAAAAATAATTAAAAAATAAAATAAAACAAAACAAAATGAAAAAAACCCAAACAAACCAAAACACAACACAACAAACAACAACAAAAACCATGAAAATGGATTTCTCACTTTTTTTTCAAGAAATAGTTTCTCAAAGTGTCTCTGTCTAGTCAAGGCTTAAAAAAAGTCCCAAAGGCTCAGAAAGTCCCAGAATTCAAGACTAGACGGATTTAAATCTCCACCTCCCCTATCTACTCCAACCCCAGTTACCATTAAGTTCAAAGAGAAGCCCTAAAAATGTAACAAGATAAAAAATCTAGTGGAAAGTGAGAAATAAAACAAAAGTAAAACAGTAAATATTTTAAAATTAGTTTAAATAAAAATCTTAATCTTAAACTAAAAGAGAGAGCACAGCAAATGATTTTAATATTTCCCCCTATTTTGGATTTATATTTTTAAATTATTTTTATTTATTATTATCTGCCTGTTAAATAGGACCATTTATTTCTTACTGCCTAGTTGAATTAAGAATATTATGGCCTATTTTATGTCTATTCTCATTCAGATTCTTTCTGAAACTATGTTATAATATCTTTATTTGGATTCTCAAGTCTCGAGTGGTCTGCTTTCCTCAAATTTCAGACCACAAATTGGATTCCTGTATAGATTCAAAGATGTTTTCCCTGCACCTCATGCTGTAGGTAATGAGCATTTTTGAAGAACAAATACCAAACCAGAACAGATAGCCTAAAGTTACTTCCTAGAGATGACAGGCCCTGCTGCTTCAGTCACATCAAAGATGCAGTGACTGGTGTGTTCACAAATTGCTGACAATAAATGGGGAGTTGTTTATCAGCTGGAGTGGTGCTGCAGATATCCTTGAGAAAATACAAACCAGAGAGTTGCATCCAGTACTTAAGGCTGGCAAGGAGGTATTCTTTCACAAATCATACCTTACTTTCTTGTCTCCTGGAAGTTTTGCACAACTCTTAAGGAAGTTTTCATCTAGAGGAATGCAATGTGTTTAAGAAAACTAAGACAACTTTTTCTAGACACAGTATCCCTAAATAAGCAATTTACTGATCTCTGTTAAAAGACAAAAAGCTGCCTATGATATAAACTCAACCTGTAATGATTTAGCCAGGGATATGAGATCCCAGATCCTAGGGCAGTTATGATCTGCAGTAACTGTTATTTTGGTAATTTCAAATATAGCATGAATTGCAGTGACTTTAAACATAGCATGATAATTTTCCTACTATGTTCTAGGGTATTCTGAACTAAAGTGTTTGAAAGCATGGGAGAGACTGAATGGTGAGACATCATGAATCTGTACCCTGCTAACGATGATGTTCCCTTCTAAGAGGGAAGATCTGAAATCCAGTCTGTGTTTCAGACACTATTTGACACAAGATATTTAGTACAAAATAAATAAAAATAAATAAAATTCATTTGAAAAATTAAATCTCTCACCTCCAAGATCTTTTATCTCCAAGATGAAATAGCTAAGAGTAAGACAAAATTATCCTAATTTTCTTTCTCTGGCAAATTGAATATTTAGCTGGCACTTAAAATGAAGAACAGTCCCTTTAAGTGAGACTCTTTTTCAGTTAATTATTATCTGCAGTTTCGTTCCTCATAAAGGAAGACATGGGCTCAAGTAAAAGAAAGGATGAAATCTAGGTGTCACACCTCATCGGATGAATCACTGAAAAAGTATGTGAGAAGCCTCACAACATGCCTTTTCTAGACTCTAGACTCTTCTGGACTATTGCACCATTTTATACTTTACAGTATGCTTAGGATATAATACTGGAAACATGAGAGTCCATGTGGACCTTTTGAGACAGATATTCTACACTGTAACATTTAAATTAGTAGTTGTGTCCCACAGCTTTAGCAAGTCCTCACAAAGGCATTTGTTTCTGCTAAGGCCAGCATAAAATTCGGAAAATGTTGACAGGGCTTGTAGGTATTCACAGTATTATCAATTCTTTAATTTTTTATGAAGATTTGTAATGGAATCTTTGCCCATGCTTTACATTTCTTCCAGAAAAATGGGTTTATTCTCTAGCACCTCCACTCCCATAGAATCACACAAGCATATGTGTACACTTAGATAACCACAAAGAGACACAGACATGCATACAAACACATGCACAGACTCACTCTTTGCTATTTTTTGGTAGTATTTTTGTTAACTGTAATTCACAATTAAATGCTGCTTTTAGAACAACCTTCCAGGGATTCAGCTGTTCTGTTCAAATCTTCACAGCTGAAGAAGAGACAAAACACTGGCAGCCTTTTTTATTGAATTAATTTGATTTTTTTCTTTTGTCCTGCCAGTTATCAAAATTGTCAAATAAACCAGCTTTGATTCATAAATAATGGTTCCATTATATTTACTGTGCCACCGGTCAGAGTACCTGAAATTTTAATTCACTTGTTCAGCTAAATTTCATCCTCAGTTCACAGCCATAAAATTCTGTATTGACAAACTTTCAAACCAACTTTGACTCTGAGGTATCTAGTCAACATTTTTCTTCTGTGTGGATATTAGTTTATTGAATAAGTGGCATCTGTTTTCCTCCACATCACTAGTGGAGTAGGTATTTCCTTTTGACAGCTTTGTACGATTTATGGGTTTGCATGCTATGAAGAAAAATAGTACTAAGCAAAAAATTCCAATTCATTACCTCTTAGTACTTAATTAAGTTCATACACATTGCACACTATAGCTGAACCCTGAAATGACTGTGACAGCCACTGAGCAGCAAGTTAGATTATCTTTGGAAGACAGAGAGACTTTTAATTATCTTGACCTCATTTTTTCCATCTATGATATTCATAAATTTTCATTCTATTTTGTTGCCTCCATCAGATGTACCAAACCACTCTGAAAACAAGATTATATCCTTAGCTATTTCCTTTTATCTGCACATTTAGGCACCAAATGTTTTTACAAATAGTGAAGTCAAGCAATACTTTTTATCAGCTTACTTCACAAAGCTGCAGATGAATTATGTCATATGGGGTCCTCGTAATAATGGCTTGGTTTTGAAAATGATAACAGCTTGATAAAAGAAGAAAGCAGTGGATCTGGCTATCAGTAGATACAGAAATAAAGAGAGCCTGGGCTTTACCTGTCAGGGTTCTGTGTACACACATGCATCTGTAAGAGGATCCGCTGGGTGAAAGTCTTAAAGCATTGCCCACATTTCCAAAGATGCCAGTCACTGAACTCAGAATTTAGTTGGCTTGTTGAAGTTGGGCTTGCAAGAACTCGTTGGTTTTTGACACTGATCTGGTTAAATCCTGACTCGATGGACCCAGACTTATCCAGGAGAGAAAAATTTCTGCTACACGGAGTCTGTGGAAATACTACGGATCGCTGTGGAGTGGCAGGGGATAGTTTGCTACTTTTATTAAATGGCTGTAGGGTGTCTTGTCTGGACATGGCCTCCATTACAGTCGAAGGGACATTCACTGGGAGAAAAGAAGAAAAGTATATAAGATCTTTTTTTATGCCTTTTTACAACTAATACGGTTTTGGGAGAGACCAAAAAAATATCAACATCCATTTTCTTGACACTACAATTAAACAATTTTATTTTAACAATGCACAGAAAGAAAAAAAAAAAAGTGGGCTTGAATCTGAAAGGGTGGTGCTGATTCTGTGACACTGAAATGAAAATTCATGCAAAGGGCTGTCTTAGACCCAAAGGACCCAGAGAAGCCTTACTGTGATATTCATCTATTACACAATGGGATTGTCATCTGAAAGAAAACATTGCTGCACTTGTATATTGCCCTGACTCTGTATATTGCAGTCAGCATGTCTGACTGCTATACTGCAGACAAGCATGAATTTTGAGAGCATGGGGAAAAAAAATCCTTTCTCGGACACGCCTTCAAATACAATAGGGCTTAAATATCTACTGCAGCAATAGTTCTCTTATCGTCTTAAAGGGCAGCCTCTAAGGATATTATACTATTACATGTCACAAATAGCCACACTGCCAATACAGCAAGAAGCCAGTGACTTCAACATGTCTCATACTATTAAGAGTAATAATCATGAGACAACGCGAAGTATAGGCAGAGATGTCTTTGTGCATCAGTTTCCCACCCACAAAATAGTTATGAAAATAATTTCTAGTCCCATGAAGGTCTTATGATCATCAATTAACTATGGCTTATGAGGAATTCAGATATTTCAGCAACAAATGCACAAAGAAGTGATTTAGTGCTGAATTTGAATGTTGCATGATGAGGAAAGCAGGAGGTCAAACATGTAGAAGAAAGTTGAATAGCTGCCTCAATCCTTGAGTACCATGTAGGTCGTTCAGTGAATGAAGCAAGGATCCTGTGGAAAAGTAGTGAGCTAACAAATGCTTGTACCACAATGCAAAAATAAATGTAATTTAGGCCACGGGGGCCAAGTAAGTTCTAATGCTTTCTAATTTTGGCACACTCAATCTCATGAGATAATATTTTGATGTAAATTTTTAAATTAAATATGTTTTATACATATATATCTATTTATATTCTCTTATGTAGTTACTGTCACAAAGTGCTTCTGTCTATAACTAGGCACATAGCATGTACTGAACTGTTGATTAGAAACTACAACTTGGTTTAGGTTAGTCATAATGATAGATCTCTAAGAGCAAATATGAGAATTAAATTTCAGTTGTGAGCTGGAATCATCCAACATTGTTTAAGATACAATAAAAATGTGATACAAATTAATGATTTTGTAATATCTATCTTAAACCATGACAGTTACTTTAGAGTTATATACTAATTTCTTACATCAATCATAATGGCTCCAATTTTATAGTATTAAAAGCTCTTTAGTTTATGTCACTTGAGGTCCTTCCTAATCTATTCTTTTTAGGAGTATCTGAGAACCTAATTTCTAAGTAGAGTTACATCTGTGGAGCTGTCTATTACCAGTTTCCAAATATATAATACATCTTCCACGTGTCTTCCGTAAAGGGAACAATTTGTATACTTCCATTTTGCCCCAACACACTTGCAAGAAGCAGATAACTTTTTTTTTCTTTTCTTTTAATTGTATTCATGACAGTCCACAGAAGCAATAAGATCAGGATGTCTGATCAGACCTAAGGAAAATAGGCAGAGTTTGTGCAGGTGAATATACACTTGTGCAGAAGATAAGCAGGTGTACTCTGAGAGTTTAAATGGCACTTAAGTCATATGCAGCTGGCTCCATAGTCAGAGATTAATTTCATCTACTCATGTTAGTGTCTCTGGGGTTGAAACTCTGATTTCTCTCTCAGCAAAATAGCAACTGGCAATATTTAGAGATTTTAGCCATAATGTTTCCTTTTCAAATAAAGTTTTTGTAGGCTTCAGCTCATGAAAGAAAAAATAATATTTCTATATTGTACACCGCAGAGCATGAGTTTTATCAGCAAATATTACTGCCAGTAACTAAATTTCTTTTAAACTTTTTTCAAGTCCAACAGATTTGAAAACTCAAGATGAAAAAAGATGTTTATTTTTGACAGTTTATTCTCTGGTATCTTGCTGTTTTATTGCTGCATGTTCAGTATTTAAGTTGCTACAAGACACCAGTTCATCCTAGCAGTTCATCCTGTTTAAGTATCCAAGTACTTGACCAAAAATATACATCTTATGTGTAATTGATTAAGAGTGGGCAGTCACAGGGTTACATTAGACCAAAGTCAATCAGGCATCCATTATTGGTTTCTTCTACCACATAGATACACATAGCTGTCAAAATGGATGCAAGCCCTAATCAAATTCCACACACAAGTAGTAAAACTGAAGGGTGTGCCTGGATCCCCAATCCTATTTACAGACAAATGTGTCTAGCACTAGATCAGGTCTCTGTTAGTTGCATGCTTAGTTTTGTGAGGACTCCTAGCAAACTAAAAATAAAATATTGAGAAGGGGTAGAAGAATGGATGGAAATGGGGATTGGCAGGATGCAATGGAGGTTCATTGTCGTTTCTGTTTACTTGCACTCAGTTTGTATTTAGAGAAGCAGTTTTTTGCATCTAACTACAAGGATCTAACCTGTACAGTTAGTCAGTCTAAGCTTTTCTCAATATATTCAGTGGTAATAGAACAAAGAATCACTAAAAGAGGCCCTCCGGGCCTTCAATGTATTACAGTTTTGGGAAGGGAGTGTCTTGTGATAAACCTAGTAGCAATGTAGAGGACCAAGAAAATTGATTAACAATACAATAGAGTTAATCACTTCTGTGGAAGAGTGATTCATATCATAATTTTGCACATCTTAAGTGTATCAGCTTGCTTTAAATGTACAACCACTTTCATTTAACATCACAGAATCAGAGAATCAAAGAATCATACAGTGCTCTGGGTTGGAAAGGATCTTAAAGTTCAGCTAGTTTCAACTCCTCTACTGTGGGGAGGGACACCTCCCACTAGACCAGGTTGCTCAAAGACCCATCCAGACTGGCCTTGAACACTTCAAGGGATGGGCCACCTTCTAAAACACTCTAGGAATATACTTGATCAGGCATGAAACAGGAATTATGGCTTACACAGGTAAAAATACAAGGAAGAACTTACAATTTTCATCCTGTGCAATGCACTGGAGAGGGATTCCAAAGAAAGATGTGTAACTGTCATTGTACCACACCAACAGCTCAGTGCCCCTGGGAATATCTATACAGGCCCGGTAGAATATATTGGATCTAGTCAAGAGAAAAAGAAAAAAAAAGCCTAATTTAGGAATAGGGCATTCTTCTCTTATCATACACAATGTTATAGTAGAAATTCATTGTTTTGGAAGCATTTCCGCAGATAACTAAATGAATAAGTTACTGATTATTTTAAAACCAAATCTGTCATAGAGAAGGATTTTATTCCTGTTGCACAGGCTAACAAAGACCTTACAAGCACTTTGTACCAAGCATGTGTTAAACAGTGAGGTTTTAAAAGGACCAAGATTTTAAGAAAATACAGATATTTTCTTGCAATGTCAGTTTCAAAGTGATTTTTTTTCAAAGCGATTTTAGAAATGGTACATTTTGCTTATGCTTATAACCATCAAAGTGTTGCACACAGTTCAGCAAAAACAGCCATTTAAACAGCTTAGCATTTGTCATCTAAGCTAAACTTAACATTGTTTAGGGGAAAATAGACAACAGCTCTTTTATGTGAGTAAGTTCTTTTAGCAAAAGGTTTGAAGTAGTGTGAAGTGACTTTTCATTACAGCAATGTACCACCAAAAGAGAGATCTCGGATTGTTGAGAAAAATAGGCTTTGGCTTAGGGAAAATAAAAAATTTGGGTTAATCAGAACATTCAATCATAAAATTTTCCCATATATGGAACATGAGGGTAATGTCAATGATCCTTCAGTAAATATAAATTAGTGTTACCATAAGCGTGATATCACATTGTTCCTGTGATAAAAGACTGTGGGTATTTCTAGACCATTGAAGTGGGAATTGAGGGGGAAAAAGGGACAAATCCTAGTGTCTTTAGCATAAAAACAAGAGCCTTATTCTAATCTTGCACTGATGTAAATAGCTTCAGAGTCATACTTCTACAGTTAACAGATTTACATGGCAGCAAAAACTGTGTAAGATTAGAATCAGGCTCAAGATAAAAGAGAAATGTTATCAGTTTGCAGTGGCTTTTCCCCCTCATGCTTCACATGGAACAGTAAAACACACTTCTGTGAGATGGATAGAAATTCAATATACACAAGAAGAACAGTCCACTCTTGCTGAAGGATTACATACCAAAATGATACAGTCAAAGTACCAAGAAATGACCATTTTTTATAACAGCTTATGTAAGGCAGAAAAACATCTATAGACCAAAAAAAAAAAAAAATTAGGCTTCAACCAGTTTTCTGAGTGAAGAATTGCTACAAACATTATTCTGAAGTTCAAGATAAAAGTGTTTAGGGTTGGTAGGCCTTAAATTTAGACTTTCTATAAAGAATTGGCTGTAGCAATGCAATTTGTTCCTTGTATAACACTGCAGACATAAGGAGAATCTTCTACCACATTTTTCATGGCAGTGAGATATGCACTTGTCAACATATTTTGTCACCGCAAAGTGGCTCTTGGCAACAGGATCATAAAGATCAATAAAAAAGTGCAGATTCTCAATATTTTACTAGCAGCTGCAAAAATTTCATTTATCTTGTTATTTTCCTCGCTTACTGCCACCCTGTCTCAGGAGGGCACTGCTAGCTAAGCAGAATGGTTTTCTTAGCCTTCTATGAATATCTGACAAAAACTCTCCCCTTTGTGTCTCCCCTTCTCCTTCCCTCCTCCTCCTCCTCCTTCTCCTCCTTCTCCTCCTCTTCTTCTCCCTCTCTTTCTTCCCAGAGCTACACATTAAGTTAATTCTTTCCACTGTTACATAAAAATGGAAATTGAAGCCACGCTATAAATTACCAGCATCTCTTAACTTGAGAAAAATTGAGTCTACTTTGTACTTCACCCTTGTAACATTTCATCTCTCAGTTTGGCTTCCCTTAAGATAAACACAGCAGCCCAGCAAATGAATGTGCTAAAACCAAATGACACACTTTGCCGCTGAAAGACCAGAACTGTTTTTGAGCAATGGGTGGTCTGTGAGGCTTGGAGTAGGCAGGGAAAAAAATGTGTAAGTGTACACCGTTCCTTACAAGTGTGCAGAGCTTCCAAAACTCGCAGAAATCTCTGCATGCTGAAGTACATCAAAGGGATTTTTCCCTTTTTGGATAATATTTCCTTTGCTGACATGTATTTAGTATTGTGGTTGGATGACTCATAAAGATAGCTTCATGGCGTCCCAACGCAGTTGAAGCAGAACACATGCCAACAAACATTATTGTCAGCCTCAAAATAAAAACAAAACGTTCAGCTAAGGGTCAATCAATCAAGAGCACTTTGAAGAAAATTCCATTTAGATATTACAAATCATAACAGAATGAATTTAAACCAGCTGACTTTCTGTGAGGAGAACGTCCATGTACAATAAAAATTAGGCTGGTTTTTCAGTGTCCAACTTTTCTATTTTCTTACACTTGGATGCAGTCACCAGTGATGGATGCCAGTTTTTTAAATTGTGTTTTTGTAGTTCATTTTATAAAGATCTGAAGTAATCGAAAACAGATCAACAGGGGGAACTCTAAGTAAAAACTCCACCATGAAAGGAGAGTTGTAAAATCCACTTAATATTGACAGATGTGTAATGACTTTCTCATGCTCACTTTTCATTTAGGTTTGTCATCTATATATATGTACGCATATTTTTTTTTCTTATTTTTATGTATATATGTGCAGGCACACATCACCACATTGAGAAATAGTCCACAAGATACCCACAAAAATACTCTTTCATCACAGCAATCTTTATTCATTATCCAGGGTATTTATTTAAAATCCTATGGTATTTTAGCTATAGATAGCAGATACTTAAGTCTATAATGAAAGATTTGTAATGTATAAATAGAATTGTTATTTTTTTAACTGTGGCATTATTTAGTCAACTGGATAGAGAATAAAAAAGCTGAAAATGCAATTGATCAATTTTACCATTTTTAAATTGGAACCCTATGGCATAATCAAACTTTATATATTTCATTTTAGATTTCTTTGTGTATGTTTTATTTTTATATTTAAAGGCACTTTAAATAAATTTAAGATTCTTCCTAAATAAAAGAAACTCTGCTTTCTAAAATCAGGATTACTCACTGCAACTGGCAAGCCTGGTGCATTCTTTGATGTGTTTCCTACCATATTTAATAAGGCCAAGTGGTCGCTTCTGATTCTGAGGCAAAAGGTTTGTTTATAGCTGAGATCATGTATTTATGTAACGTGTTGTCTGGGTTTTCTGGATATATTTGCAAGTACAAAGTAAAATGCACCATAATTTCTTTACATTTTTTTTCACACTTTGACTTTCTCTAGCCAGCAACGTGAGAGGTACAAGCACTAGCAATGTTGGCTAGCAGGTGCGTTCAACATAGAAGTTGAACAACTCTATTAAGGGTGGAAGACTACTGGTGTTGGCCTGCTTCTGATCATATCATTCAGAATAGAGGGCTCCATGTAGCATGGTGGCCACACAGTGACACAGGACTGCTCAGGCTCCCAGGAGCTTCACGCTGAATTTTTTTTATTATCACCCCATATGAACACATCCATAACTCTGCTCCTGTCTTTACAACCAAAGGCAAAAGTACTGGTGACAGTTACAGCCTGACCTTCCAGTAAAACTTTGTATCATTGAGTAAATCAGAAAACACTTTACCTGTACTGAACCACTGTTAAGTTCTGCTCTCCACAGTGCCTCGCGCATCGAATATACCGCATCCAGCTTGACTTGCTGGGTTCTCCACCATCGATAAAGTGCTGCAGCGTCCCATCTTGGTCATATATCTGGGGGAGATGTCACAAGGTCAAGTAGTTAGAACAAATCATCAACAATCATTTTTCACTGCTTTGTTCCTCTGTGTCTTTTCCAGGAATGTATTGCCATGAAGTTTGTCACTGCGTACTGATACTTTTAGAAATCTACATGGAACAGCAGAAGAGTATTTTGGGGGATGCAAGTTTATCATATTTCTTTTATCAAGCCAATCTTTTTATATTAAACATATTTGTGGTGTCTCAAAGATGTAACCATGTTTCCCAAAGAATATTTAACCTGTTTTGACAAGCTGGCCTTAAATAATGAACTGCCAGATAAACAAGAAAATCTGGATGTAAAGCGTGCATTGAAATGGCTGGGACATCCAAGCAAGGGGCAGTAGTAATCCCTAAACAAGTATCCTTTCCTTCACATCTCAGTTGCAGCAAGAGCGTGTACTACAGCAACCTCACATGATACGTTAGGGAGTTGTAGGATTCATAATATCAAAACAAATGAGACTAGAAGGAAAAAGAGAGTTGATGATGCCTTTAGAAGCTCCCTTGAGAAGCTTTTTTGAAGTAGTAAATGAGAAATCAGTCCTGAGGGAATCATTGTTTTCCTAAACATGACATCCCTGCTAAGGACATGAGAGCCAGTTCTGGTAATTTTTAAAAAAAGACAGTATTATGTCTCTACTTAGCAGTGGATGCCCCCTCTGAAGTCAAAGAATGAAGTTGCTCTGGAGGCTCTGAAATGAAAAGATAAGTGTTTCATGCATGCCTACCATTTTGACTGCTTAAAAAATGTTATCTAGGTAGGTCTAATCCTTGTAAAAGCAGATGACCTCAGCAGATTTTTACTTGTTATGCAATTACTTTGTCAAAATTCATGAATGCATCTAAATTACTAGGTACCTGTCTGAAGTAAACCCCATCTTCATGTCTTTTGTCCCTCCATGAACACCATTTGCTTTAACAGTCCTACCCCAAAAATGCTATCCCTTTTGAAATTTTATGAACCTGAGTTGATGTTTTCTTGAAAGTAATAATTCTGCTATGTAAAGAGGAAGCACATTTATTACATTGAATTGAACATTTCTAGAGCATACGAATTAACAACCTTGCATGTCTATTTCAAGATCAAGAGAATAATCTGAGAAATTATGAGACTATATTCAATACTCCAGATTTATTAAAAGAGTGTTTCCAACAATCTACACAAAAACATACAAAGGAATCAGAATCTAGTTCTTTACTCTGCCACAAGAGAGTCTCAAACTCAGGAGCCAGCCTAGCTTTTGCTTTAGGCCAATGGGACTGGGAGTAATCAGGAGCAATATATCCACTGCTAGAGCATGAGAGACATAGAAATCAAGTGTCCATGGGGATCCTTATCGTTTGTTCCTGAGTGTCTGTGACAAGGACCAGGTGAAACCTGGCCAGATACTCCTGGGCTGGATAAGTAAGATGCTACCCCAACATGTACTGAGTGGAATAAAGTCAGAGAAACTGGGAGTCCTCAGAGGCAAACAAATACTCTGATACCAGGGATTAAGTTTATTTTTTATATATGGTAACATGCCAATTATCAACAAGGACCTATTCTTTTGTAAATATATTAGAGTATGTTGAATATATGAACAAAATATGCTAAACAATAAAACTCTGTAACTGAACCAAAAAAGCTTTACAGGAAATCAGCCTACAAAAAGGAAGAGAAGGAAAAACTAATGACTAACTGTTGGCTAGGACCATTCTGGCAATATCTATGCAAACAGTCTCAGCACAGTGTTTATTATCTATCCATTTACATGGTGCTTATTCACATAACAATATATGGCTTAACATGAGGCAGAAAAAATTCCCATAAATAAAGAGCTGATAACTTCCTAATACCCAGATGATATGAAACAGGAAAGACAAGGAAGACTGCCATAATCAGTACTGACAGTCATATCTTGACACACAGGGTCCTACTCAGAACTGCATGTAAATTGTCAGTCAGGAACTGACAAGAAAAATTACAATCTGTTATGGAAACATAGGAGTGAAGCTTTCTTAGGCCTTGGACTGCACTACAAGCAAGACTAAATATTTTCAAATGCTTTATTCTTGCAAGTAGTGATGCAACACTATAATATCTTCTACAGGTGTGTATCCTAAGCAGAAGTTGAAAACAATGCCAAAGAAGGTAATGGTTATAAGCCTGGGTACTGAGTTTACCGTTTGTAAAAGGTATGCAATTATAGAATTATAGAATAATTTAGGTTGGAAGAGACTTTTAAGATCATTGAATCCAACCCTTAACCCAGCACTGGCAAGCCCACCTCTAAATCAAGTCCCTAAATGCCACATCTACACTTCTTTTAAATACCTCCAGGGATAGTGACTCTACCACTTTCCTGGGCAGACTGTTTCAGTGCTTGACAAACCTCTTGGTGAAGAAATTTTCCCTAATATCCAATCTAAACCTCCAATGGCCCAACAAGTGACCATTTCTTCTCATTCTGTCACTTGTAACCTGAGAGAAGAGACTGACCCTCACCTTGCTACAACCTCTTTCAGGTAGTTGTAGAAAATTATAAGGTCTCCTCTGAGCCTTCTTTGCTCCAGACTAAATAACTCCAGATCCCTCAGCCTCTCCTCATCAGACTTGTACTCCAAAACCTTCGCCAGCTCTGTTGCCCTTCTCTGGACACACTCGATGACCTCAATGTCTTTCTTGTAGTGAGGAGACCAGAACTGAACACAGGATTCCAGTTGTGTCCTTACCAGTGCTAAGTACAGAAGAATGATCATGTCTCTGGTCCTGCTGCATACACAATTTTTGATACAAGACAGAATGCCATTTGCCTTCTTGTCTACCTGGGCACATTGCTGACTCAGCACTCCCAGGTCTTTTTCCACTGGGCAGCTTTCCATCCGCTCTGCCCCCAGCCTGCAGCACTGCATGGGGGTGTTGTGGCCCAAGGGAAGGATCTGGCACTTGCCCTTGTTGAACCTCATAGAATTGAACTCAGCCTATTGATCCAGCCTGTCCAGGTCACTCAGCAGATCCTTCCCACCCACCAGCAGATCAGCACCCCTGCCCAACTTGTCATTTGCCATCTGGCTGAGGGGGCACTCCATCCCCTCGTCAAGATCACAGATAAAGATATTGGATGGTAATGGCCCCATGGCTGAGTCCTTGGGAACACCACTAGTAATTGGCCACCAAGTGGATATAGCGCCATTTGCCTCCACTCTCTGGGCCTGGCCATCCAGACAGGTTTTTTACCCAGTGAAGAGTGCAAGCCATGAGCAGCCACTTCATCCAAGAGAATTCTGTGGGAAATGATGTCAAAGGCTTTACTAAAACTCAGGTAGACAACAACCACAGCCTTTCCCTCATCCATTAAGTGGGTCACCCTTTCACAGAAGGTTGGTCAAGCAGGACCTGCCTTTCATAAGCACATGTTGGCTGGGCTCAATCCCCTCATTGTCCTGTACATGCCTTGTGATGGTAATGAAGATAATTTTTTCCAAGACCTTCCCCATCACCAAGATGAGGCTGACAAGCCTGTTGTTCCCTGGATCCTCCTTCTTGCCCTTCTTGTAGATAGGCATCACTCCTGCTAACCTCAGGTCAACTGAGACCTCCCTGATGAGGCACGGCTGCTGATAAATGATTGAAACTGGCTTGGTGAGCATTTCCAGCGGCTCCTCAGAACCCTTGTGTGGATCCCATCCAGCCGTGTAGATTTGTGTGTGTCTAATTGGTGTAGCAGGTCCCTGAACATTTTTCGCTTGGCTTATGGTGGCTTCATTCTGCTCCCCATCCCAGTCTTCCAGCTCAGGGGGCTGGGTACTCAAAGAAGAACTGGTCATACTATTAGAGACTGGATCAAATCAGGCATTAAGCACCTCAGCCTTTTTCTTGTCTTTTGTTACTATGTTTCCTCACACATCCAATAAAGGGTGGAGATTATCCTTAGCCCTCCTTCGTCACTAATTTATTTATAGAAATAATTTTTTATATTCTGTTACAGCAAGTAATTCTATTTGGGCTTTGGCCCTTCTACTTTTCTCCATGCATAAACTCTTGACATCTTTGTAGTCCTACAGAGTTGCCCGCTCCTTTCTTCCAAAGCTCACAAATGCCCTTTTTTACCTTAATTTTCAGCCAAAACTCTCTGTTCAGCCAGGTTGGTTTTCTTCCCCATTGACTCATCTTTCGGCACATGGGGACAGCCTGCTCCTGTGCCTTTAAGGTTTCCTTCTTAAGGTACATCAAGCCTTCCAGGACTCCTTGCCATTCAAGACTGCCTCATAAAGGACTCCGTCAGCAAGTCTCCTAAACAGGTCAAAGTCCATCCTCCAGAAGTCCCAGGTGGCAGTTCTGCTGACCCTCCTGCTTACTTCTCTGAGATTTGAAAACTCTATCATTTTGTGATCACTGCGCCCAAGACGACCTCCAACCACCACATCACCCATGTTCACAAACAACAAGTCCAGCAGGGTACATTCCCTAGCTGACCCCCTCATGATCTGTGTCAGGAAGTTATCTTCCACACACTCCAGGATCCTTGTGGACAGTTTCCTCTCTGCTGTTCTGTGTTTCTAGCAAACATCTGGTAAATTGAAGTCCCTCACGAGAGCAAGGGATTATGATTATGAGACTTCTCCCAACTGCTTACAGAATATTTGACCTGCCTCTTCGTCCTGTTTGGATGGTCTACAACAGACTCCCACCAGGTTATCTGCTTTGTTGGCCTTCCTCCTGGTTCTTACTCATAAACACTCACATAATCACCATCATCTTCTTTTGAAGGAAACTTCCATGTCTTTATTTATTTATATTTTTTTAATTCACTTTGCAGAGTTTTACTCATCCTCTGGAATAAACTAGTAGTCTAAGTAAAGTTGAATACATATATGCTCTGAGAGATGGGGAAAGAGTATTCAGTGGCATTACTGGTAGAAGAGAGCTCTATGGCCAACTTAACAAATTACAAGGAAAGTTAGTTCTCCCAAAGAAGAACAAATAG